AGACCACTTCTCCAGCTGCAATTCATGGCACATCAAATCTAAAACAAATACTCAAGCCTTATAAAAGGGAAAAGTAGGTTTATTTTTCTTTTTACCGATAAATATAGAGCTATTTTTATGTGTTCCGGCCTCTACTCCCACCCTATTGTATTGTGGCTGGAAGCCTTCAATAAACATCCCCTTTCTGGATGAAAAATTGAGCTAAAATGTCTAGCAGAACTGCACAATTTTATCCTTGTGTTAACTTTTTTAAAAAATCACAATAAATCTGATACAGATTGTTAGCTCTGGAAATTTACACCAACAATAACAGGCAGGGGAAATGGCACATGTGTGGAGCAAAACCTTTTATTCCAAACAACTTCTCGTAGCTGTTTAAAAAGTTTTGACATCAATTCAGATGGAACATGAACTTCTAAGCAGGCTGTTTGGAACCAAAATGCTTCTTGATCTCCGATCTCCAGATAGTGTTTGAAGAATGAAGGAACATTGTGCCTCTCTGTCCCGGAAAAGTAAAAGATAATATAAGCTGCAAATTATTTGGCAGGCTTGGTAAATCTCATGAGACAGGTAGCAAAAGCACTTTAGAAAACATTGTTGACAACCAACTATTTGAAATTTTTATATTGGTGTCAACTGATGCACATGTTCCCTAGTTTCGTAAAAGTGCTTTGTAGCTTTTACACTGTATGCTAATCATTTCTGAATTCTGTGTTTTTGTCCTGAGAAGAGGTTCAGAATGCACAGATCCCCAAAAAGGATGAGGCAGAAGCAGAGAGATCTTTTCACCTCAGGTTCATCTTCCTTCCAGCAAGGAGAACATTGAGCACCACAGTAGTGTCATCACCAAATTTCACTCCAAAGGCTAAGACTAGAAGTCAGGGGCAGCAGTGCCTTTGATGATCTCACATTACAAATATACATCTAGGTGGCTGTAGTCGGAGGGGTACCTAGCCAAAAATCGCATTGCTATTTTTCAAGAGAAATTCAAGCAAAAGGGTACATTTCTTAGGGACCTGCCTAGGCACAATTAACTTTTCTATATGTTCCCTATGGGGGACAGAGATACATTTTTTAACAGATCTTAATTTTTTGAGTTTTGGTTTACTGTAAAAAGGTTTTAACTAGATATATGTCATTAAGCCTAAAACCTTCAATGAAACATGGTGGCTCCATAGTGGCACTGATGCTTTCTTAGTACTTTGTACCTTAGATTAATTCCCAGTCGAGATCTGTCTTCTTAATGTTTAAATGTTCTCCCCATGTTATGCAAGCTTTTCTTCATATGCTTCAGTTTTCTACGACAATCCAAAAGGATAATGTACTTTCTGTGCTCATGAGTATGTGCAACTCCCACAAGGGCTTTCAGCTGGGTTTAATAAAAAGACATAGTGCTATGGAAGAGTGCTCTAACTATGATAAAATATGCAAGTTATTATTAATTAACCATAGAAATAAGATTGGTTTTTAAGAGGAACAGTTCAAATTTATCATGTGTTGACACATTTGTATTTAAGTGTTAGTGATTAGTAAATATGCAAACACTCACCACTAACCCCTAACAGAATTTTACACTTCTCAAAATTAGAAAAGTGAATTATTAATTTCCTCACTTTTGATACAATTGCAAAGTAAACATGGGGGTAGCACACTATTTGTCAATGTTTTCACCCAAGATTCACACAACTTTACTCCTAGATCTTTACTTTTTCACAAATCTTTTGATTATAAAATTGTGTGAATCTTGGCTGAAAGTCATGTGACTCTTGGGTGAAAATATTGATAAATGGACCCCGAAGTTGTTAGTACTTTAGCCTTGCACTGTTGCGATTCTAAGTTTGATTTCCACCCAGGACACTGCCCCAAGTTTATATGTGTGTTCTGTATTTGTGTCGGACCTTCTGTTTAGGAGGAATGGATGGCAACCACTTTCAAGAAGTTGCCACAAGTTGACATTGTTTTGAAGGCACTAAACAAACGCAGATAAAATAGCAAAATAAACTCAAGACTATTGCATCAAGCAGATATACACCCACCAAAGTTGTGGAATTAAAGGTCCACTAACATTGGATATGCCATTTACTCAGTAGAGCAGTAGTAGGCCTCATATAAAGGAACCTTTACCCTTTTCTGCATTAACAGGTGACCAGAGTTGTCAACATTTTAAATGAATTTTAAGGTATACTGTTTTGCAGAATCTAATATTGCAAACACAAGCATAAAACAACATTGTCCTGATTTGTAAGCAACATGTGATATCAATACTTAGCTTCTTCATTTCAAGCAAGCCCTCTAGAGTGCCATGCAAACAGCTCAAACACCCTATCAAAAAAGCTGAATTGGGACTTAGGCAACTGCATTACACAGTACAATGTCTGAAGGTTGAGGTTCCTAATGAGAGACCTTGGAATTGCCATTTGGGATTGGGAAGTAATGCTGCAGTGCTACAGCTTTCATAGTTTCAAACTTTCACCTTTTTTTTGCATTCCGAGGGCATTTTTTTTGCACTCCGTAACATCAACAGCACTGATAAGTAAATATCTTCTACACGGTGCACGTATTATAGGCCTAGCTGTAGGTATAAATCAACAAAAGGCATTTACTACTGCTTTAATTTTTAGCAACTCCACAAATTTTGTTCCTCTCTTGCAACAATTAATTGGTAACCTGCCAGCTTTTTAATGAAAACAAAGATTAGGTGCACAGAAAGAGGGGCAAGAGCAGAGCGTGAGACCCACCCTAACTGACATCCATGCTTCTCTTGTGCACATTAAGGATGAATTGTTCCACAGTGATTGCCACCACAGAGGTCATTGAGGTTTTTTGATAAAGCTCATTTACTGTTGGTCAGAAATTCTAATTTTAACGTTCTTCTGCTTTCATTGCAATGATATCTATATATATGTTTTGCCAAGACATGTTGTTTTATTTTGTCAAGAGTTTACCCATGGAAAGAAGCATAGTTCTGACATTACCTACAGGGCGTTTCTGTATTTCAGTGAGAGTGCTTCAATTTTAGGGTTCTTAAATGGTCACACTTAGCAAAAATGGGTGTTGCTTGTGCAGATATGGCCAAATTGGGGAGTAGAGCTTGGGCAGATAGAATGTACATCTTGATGTGGCTTTTAATTGTACAAGTTAGGAGGTATGCTACCGAACAGAATGGATACTTTAGGTGCCTATAAGGCTTAACAGAAAATATATTTGCTTCCCTTAGTATATTTCTTGCATTTGAAAGGTGTAGGAATATTAATGCTTGTTTTTGTTGCGTTAGGTAGCATATGGTTACAGAATTTCTAAAAGTGAAAACCAACACCACTTACAAGCTCTCTTTATTTGCCTTTAATGATGTCTAAATGCCATATGAAACTGCTTAACACTGCTTTTTCCCATCAGCCATTGCATAATTTTATGAACATTTTATAAAGGATATATATATATATATATATATATATATATATAAAATTTATCAGCAGTGAAGATTAGCCCATCACCTGCTCCAAACATGACACAATAATATACGCCATCATCTTTGCCTGTGTTATGCAAAAAGACTACAATGGCTGGATATTACCTGTTAGTTTTGTTCCCCATAAAATAAGTGCCGTAGAAGCCCAGCTGTTTTACACATGCCGGCACTTCATCTGTTTATCATGTTACTTGTTTGGCGTGTTTGGCAGAACACCATAGTGTGAAAGAGTGTGCCGCTGAAGTATGTTAAGCATTCAGCACGTTTTGTTGGCAGAAGTAACTGGTTAACTCTGTTTTTTTTTCCCTGTAATCTTTTGGTTATTGACACCAGCAAAACATGTTCAATACGCCTGCAGCTATTGAACGCATATGTCTGTCTGACTTTGCAGTGGTAGAGCGGTGGCCCTGTTTGCACTTACCATACTTCCCCTTCCTTTTTACTGCCCCACTGTCACATGATCCCATAGATGACAAACCTAGGTTCTAATTCTGTCCCAACAATATTTTTATTTGTTTAAAAAGTTTTAACTTCTAAAAGTAACATCTTGAAAAGGTTTAACATAATTCAGTGTGTGTGGCAGAAACAAAAGCCTGCCCCTTTGCACCCAAGGCCACGGAAAGTACTTTTACAATGTAGATTGCTGCCTCAGGTTGCTTGGGGAAGCACTACATTCTGTAACGGAGCTTAGGAAAGAGGAATTGTGGAAGAGAATTGGTTCAGTGGCCTCAGGTAGACACTGTATTCTTTTTTTTTTTTTTTTTCCCAGGAAACCGTAAGCAAGGTTCCCAGTCTGACAGTCATTATTTTCATTCTTTGCTATGGTCATCAGCTATGGGTAATGGTTTAAGTGAAAAGCACACTAGCATGTGGAGGCAAGGGCTGGGCTCACTTCCTGTAATAGAATGTTGCATGTGTATAGGAATATAATAACAATGCCACAGATTCAGTTAGTGGGGTTTGTGCATCATATATAGGTGCCCTTTGAATCCACTAGATGCTTTGCTCATGCAGGACAAAGCAACAGGTTTGCTTTAATGCCTCCACTCCCCAGCAAGACATGCTGACCTATCCTTCATGCCCCTGTCGACATGGCAAAGGACTGGAACACCTGTGTAAGCTCTAAGATGCTGTAGTTGGAGCTTACACAGGGCCGAGGACTCTTTCCTTATCCTCATGTGACAACAATGGGCCAATTGCCAAACATCAACGCTGAGAGTCAAGGGAGTGAGTTACACGCTACTCCATACCCAGAATTACAGGGTTTTTTCTTTTCTGCAAGCTAAATGAAGTATCTTGGTTCTGTTGAGTAAGTGGGGTCATTAAATCATGAGCAAAGCATGTGTTTGCTTTACAGGCTGTACCAATGAGTTTTAAAAAATATATTTTGTATTTTTCACTTATCATTGATGGACACGTAAATGATATCTTCTGTTTATATATTTCTCCCATTTTAGGTATATTGGAGATAACATCAGTGGATGTAGGGGTTGTGGCAGTGAAATCCATTAACAGCAATTATTATTTAGCCATGAACAGAAGAGGCAAAGTCTATGGCTCTGTAAGTAACAATAATTTATTATTTCATTTATTTATTCATTCCATGTGCAGATTTTTGGAAAGGTTAATTAGAGAGGTTGAACCTCTGTCTTGTCAGAACAGAAAGTGAAGGGAAATCTGAGTTCTGACAGTTGTCTCTGGGACAGGTGTTCAGAGAGGTTGCTCAGTTGGGACACCTGTTTGGGGACAGCTGTTAGAGTTGAGATTTCCCTTTACTATCTCTAGAGAAATCTCCACGTTGGGGGGTTTACCGAAAACATTCAAACCTAAAGACCTAAAACCTGCCATAGATGTATTGAATCTCAGCTGGCTCAGCAGGAAATGGACAAGGTTCAATCCATCTATGGGCAGGCTGGTTGTACTGAAATCGATCCATCAATTTTTTTTTCCAGAACAGTCACTGCCGGCAGCTATAGATGCTAGCAGTAATCATTGTATTATGCCGGCCAGAAAGACTCTCCATCGGTAGAATGCAACAGCGCTACAAGAGGGATTCACCCATCAACACTAACTGTATCATTGGGGAAATTGAGCAGTTTTCTTTTCTGCAACCCGTGGTTGCAGGAAATAAAATTGTATTATGTATGGCCTGCTTTTCAGGAGTTGTGATCTTTACCTGAAACATTTTGTTTGGTGCTTCTTGCTTATAGAATGATGTAGGAATATGTGAAGATATATGATAAGAGGATTTTGACGGCAAAGTGACAAAAGCGTCCCATTACTACTAATATTTATTAAGGAACCGAATTGGGTGACAGTCTCCTATCCATGATGTTCCTGATGAAGCTGTTGCTTCTCTAGGGAGAAGAAAAGATTGACCATGTTAAAAAGCCTTGCTGTTTTCCTCTAAATAAAGTGGAACTAGCGATATCCACAGCAAGCGTCTCCCAACCCTCTCCATGAGCCCAGGCAGAAACTTTCATCCAAGCCAAATGTTTTTGTTCAAGACCTGGCTAGCCTTTTGATTAGAGATGGCTGAGGGCAGCTGGATCTACCCAGCACAGTCAACCAGCTTCTTGTGTCTAAAATATTCTGCCTGCCATCCTTGTTGATACCCATGCTGCAAGTCCTCATTCTCTTTAGGGCAATGTTAACACAAGTGCAGAGCAAATCAGCAGCCAACACTTGCGTTATTGGGAGTCACCATTCTGCCTGAATTCAAAATACTTCGGGTAGAATGCTCCCAGGGAATCAATAGTAATGCATCTCTAATTATCAAATGCACTTCAAAGTCTCACTCATCAACCGCATATTTGTGAGCTGAATGATTTAGATCAGTAAACTCAGCATTTGATGGGCACATTTGTGTGAGTGTAGGACATCCAACAACAGAGGTAGTTTATTTTTACAAAGCAAATATACCTATATACCTTTGCACACTGGTACTGACTAGTATTCAGCATTTCTGTTCTCCCTCAATTTCTCTTGTTCATGCTGTTAATGTGACCCCAGTGCTGATGGAGAGGGGCAGGAGAGGGGAAAACAAGGAAGCTGTGCAGGCACCCAATGTGCTCCTTATCAACCAAATATGTTACTAGATTTTACGACGCTGGTAGCTTGCATGCACAGTGCCCAAGGTTGTAATGTTGCACAATAAAAACCTGTTTCTTAGTGTGGCTTGTCCACCCACCAGCAGCTTTTAGACAATTTTTGGGCAATTTGGGGCAATTATTATGGATTTAACTATGCGCCCCTGAAAAACCCAGACAGCACCCCAGTCAAAAAAGGCTGTTCTGGACTATGGAAGTATTTTGAGTTTTTTGCTATTATGTGTGGGTTAAAAATATCTTTCCATTCTATTAAATAATTGTGTTTGTAAGTGAAAAAGTCCAGATTGTTTTGTTATGTTCTATTTCTTTTATATTTGCAGAAGGAATTTAACATTGACTGTAAACTAAAGGAGAGGATAGAGGAGAATGGTTATAATACCTATGCATCTCTAACCTGGAAGAACAATGAGAGACAAATGTTTGTGGCACTAAATGGTAAAGGAACCCCAAAAAGAGGACCAAAAACAAGAAGGAAAAGCACAAATGCCCACTTTCTTCCTATTCCTCTATAGCTTCACATGAAGGATTTGCTAACAAAGAACTAAAGACCTACAGAGAACATGCAAAAGGGCTTCAACACTTCGACAAGAAGAGGAAAACCAGTTGTGGAGTTCACAAGCGTACCAAGTCTTCCAGAGGCTGTTTTTCTAGTGCCGCGTCCTGCAAGCGGCTAGATCGAGTGAAATAAAAGCTAGCTGCCCGTTTGAAGAATGTTATTTGTTGTGTGTACAATGCTGTTTAAAGGACGAGAGACAATCACGCAGATGATCTTCTGGGAAAGTTATTTATGGAATACAAACTTAAATCAAAGATCTGCTTTGCTCATTCAGACCCAGCGATCCAGTGAGCAGACAGACACGCAAAGCATTTGCTGAAAGTACTTGGGTCAAATTGACAACAATGATGGATATTTTTTTGAAGAGACATCCACAAGAATGTATGGGATTAAGATGTGTAAACACATGCAAACTGTTCTAACAAAACGAATAATGTGGTATTCCCGTGTATTCTATGTACTGCGTCCCAACCCCCACCCCACTGCCTTTGTGTTCCTTTGTAAGTTATTTATTTAATAGAATGTTTAATATGTGTCTTCAGTGTTTAAAGCTGAGTGTCTGCATTTGTGCATCAGTTTTTTTTTTCATTATCCTAGAGAGATCGTTCTTTCTGCTTTAACATCCTAAGAGCTGACAATGATTCAGAAAAGACGTTTATGTGAAATTTAAGAAAACGCTTTTTGTTGGTCAGTCATGTAGGTGTTTTAAAGAAGAACTCCAATCAAAAAAACAAAAAATCTTTAAATGGCACACTAAATTTTATTTTATTTTATTTTTTTAAATCCGTACTCTTTTGATTGTATCTTTGCTCCATGTTCTACCATATATGGCTGCTTTATCCAGAAGACTAGGGTTCAGTGATCTAAGCCTGCAGTTTGTTCTTTGAGATGTTCCCACCCCACCACCCAGAACATTCCTGAACTCTGTGTGCTGCCTACGTACTTGCCTCAAGCATTTCCAGTGCATAAGACAGAGCTACAGATAGTATAGATCTTAGATAGGGGTTTATGGCCGTCAACCTGCACTACCCATTCTATTTTCAACTGACAGTCTAGGCACTACTTGTGTCACCCTGATATGTCAGCTGTAGTGCAAAGTTTGATGGTAATTAAATATAGAAAAGGATTACAGGTATTAGTACCATTAAAAGTAGCTAGTGGTTTCAGAAAATGTATATGGACTCAGCCTTTAGAGTTCTGAATAAGAAAAAAAAAAAAGCTCACATTATCATCTTAAAATACAAAAAAAAGTTACAGAAAGACATTAGCAACTGCCTTTTTACAAAGAGTAAAAAAAAAAAAAAGTATTGTTCTCAGTTATTACCGGCTCTGAACAAAGGAGCTAGTAGATTGCTGAGGCTTTATATTTTCGGCAGAAATTTGTTTTACTCATATATTCCCATTATTTACTGTTTATACAGCTGCAGTCCTGGTGTCATACCCTTTTAATCCTGCCAGAATCAATAACTGATTGTAACACACTCATAGGAAAATCAGGTGGAGGCTACAGAGGGCATCAGTGAGCTCACCGAGGATAAGATTGCATGCAGCTTGTTCAGTTTGAGTGATCTTTTTTTGGCAAACGTCAGGAAAATGAGGCAAAATGTTATAAAGAAAATAGGTCAAACATTGGTCTGAAAGCATCCCTGTGACAACATTTAAGGGGCCAAAAATAAGGTAATTAAATATTTTTGCTGTATTAGTTAATATAGCTAGTAACAATTATTGCTATGATTTAGCAAACCTGACAACCCTGTCAGAGGCCTGGAAAATGTGCCTACAACAGTGACAACTGGCACCTAATTTTATATATGTTTTTATGGAAATACTTTTTGTTTGGCTCCCTAAATGTGTCTGCTGGCATTTGAATTATTTTTCAGTTTGTCAGCCTCTGGTTGGGCTTGAAGACCTCTAAAAGATGGAACTGGCTGCGCCATATTAATTAAGCGGCTTGCTGGCTGATGGCTCCAAGTTAAGGGAAGATGTCTAGAGATATGGGACATGATGTACACTGATTACAGTGTATCTGGTGGTGTTCCATCATCACCTTTATCAGCCACAGTTGCCACAAGTGGTATCACAGTGACATCTGGCATTATGATTAGTGGATGTTTTTGCAGAAAGTCCATGGGACGGATGGCTTCTAATATGCCTGTGCACAAACAATTGGTCACCATTGTAGCAACTATCTCTGTCGTAGATGGTTGATCATATTCTCTTGTGGCATGAATTATAACAAAATCATATATACCGCTTTTTATTATAGTACAGTATGTACCTCTTTTAGATTATATAAAGAAATTGTCTCAAGTGTAAAGATGCAATATATAATGTCTGCTTTAAAGATGCAGTTGACACTTTCTGAGTACGTTATATTGAAGATTTACATGCAATTTTCCATCTCCATAAATCAGAGGGCCCCTCTGTATCAAGATAAAGTCAGTGATCCTTGGGTAGTAAAAATGTTTTTAAAAAATAAATAAATAAAAACAGGGAGAAGAAATTTCAAGTGAAAAAAAACATATAATTATGAACTTCTCCCAGATGTTGCATAGCTTTTATCTTGCTACAGAGTACTTTTATATTTCCCACCACTAAAAAAAGTTTAATCATGAATTTTGCAAATGGTTATTTCATCAACTAGAAAAAAATGTCCATGCTAAAAAAGGGTTTAAAGCTTGCTGTGCATCGTTTTGATAAATGGCATGGTTTAAAAGAACCTTAGAGCTCAGTTTTCTTCACTTGAATCTGTAGTAAAATTTACAAACGTCAAAAAAAGATTAAGCGCAATAAAAAATTAAAATTACACTATTTCTCAGAACACAATCTGTTTCGTTTTTTATTTAATAGAAATTGCAATTTTCCGTTAGAAATAATAATAAAAATAACAATAATAATATTTCCATACTTATATTTATGCAGTCTTATAGTGTTTTTAAATGGGGAATACCACTTAATTTTTCGAAATCAATGGGAAAACCAGTAGGAAATGCTACGAAATATGTTACTGAAAGACCATTATTACATAATTTTTTTGATTTTACAGAAATTTTGCTGATTGGGATGTTAAGTCTTAGAAGCCTCTTTTCAATGGTCTAAAAATTTGGGTTTGGAAAACATATATTTAAAAAAAATAAAGGGCTAATAAATACAAATGTAATACCTTCATTAACATTTACTTTAAAACATTTAAATGTCTCAGGGGTTTACCACAAATGTTTTTTTCAGTTATATGTTTATTAGATAACCATATAGGACTCATTCACACCTACCAGTTCTGTTGCATTTATTTTATGTTATTGTGCATTTCAGCAACCCATTGCTTTAGAATGGAGTGTCAATGCATGACAACAGATACAAACACAGCTCTGGCTTTTTTTTAACACATTTGTACCACAATACACATCACACAGTTATACATAGTAAATAAAAAGGGGAGTAGAAGGACTTCCCAGGCGTGATGCTGCTCCTTCATTATTCACTGGGATGGATCCTGGACTAGGCTGTATTCCCTGACTGTAATTTAGCCTGCAGGAAAGTTTGTTCTCTGCAAAAAGGTTTACAAGACTGCCTGTACAGAATTTTATATCCTTTGTTGGCTAAAATATTTAACATATATACATTTTGAATGAATACTTAGCTGTTTGCTTGGAGTTCAGTTTTCCAGTAATGATGGTCTTGTAGGAGATGTTTCCCTACATTAATTTCCCCAGTTTGTAATACTGTAGATCAGGAGTCTCCAAACTTTCTAAACAAAGGGCCAGTGTATTGTCCTTCATACTATATTGGGGTCGGACTGTGGCCAGCGGGAGTAGAATATTTCCTGGCATCGGTGAGAGTAAACATCGTCACATTTGGTATTAGGGGGAGAAATGGTGTCCCATTGTTGATGTCAGTTGGTACAACAGTGTCTCAATTCAGTGGGAGGAATGATGCCCCAATGACCAGATAAAGACAAGCAAAGGACCATAGTTTAGAAACCGCTGTTGTGGGTGAATACAGACATCTGGCCCCTGCAAGTCTCTGTTGACTTTAAATAATGGATAATGCAAAACTAAATATAATATCAAAAATATCAGTTTCTATGCAAACATGAGAACCTTTACATACAAATTTGTAAATATGTTAGGAAAATCAATTTGTGCTATACGTTACTAAACAATGTATAGAAGAAACAAGACAAGCTATCCTGTTAAGTTTTGCGAAGACCAAAATAAAGTGCAATGCGGCTAATCAGATTTCAGTTTTCCGATGTTACTTCAGAAACATTTGAGTAGTGCTGTATTACACGAATCCAAAGAAACCAATCATATTTCAGCAATGTGGTTTGACCATTAAGGTTTTCTTATTGGTTGCCATTGATTACTGTTCTTTGTTATGCAGTATTTACAGAATTGTGGGTGATGTGAAGTGTATATACATTTTGGCAATACAGTGATGACTCAAAATGTTATGAAACCTAAATAAAGTAATTATTTGCTGCATCTTTATTTAGCATAATGCTATGCATGCACAGGTATATACCCTGTTATATCCATTATGTAGGCAATGACATGGTTATGCAGAGCCAAGATGGTAGGACAATGCATTCTAAGGAAAGAAGTGGATTACACAGAGGCTAGATCTAGATCCTGACATGCAGGTTGTTTTGAAGTATAGAAATGTTGGTTAAAGAGGTTTCAAACCTCTAAAATTAAAAGTGAACAAGGCATATCCTCATATAGCGTGCACTTGCCTTGGGCCAAAAACACCTAGTGTGATTTCTGCCCCCCCCCCCCCTTTCATTTCTCTGTTATCTGCAAAAGTCACTTCTGACAATCTATGCTGACAACAAAGAATTCTGGGGGGATAGCCCCACCCCCCTCCAGCATACAGCAGGTCATTGACAGCCTTAGCTGTACATGTTTCCTTTTGAGATTGTGTAGAGGAGTTTTGTGTGCAGTCCCTCCACTCAGG